TTCATACCTGGTATAAATCCCACTTGATCATGGTGAATTATTTTTTTGATATGTTGCTGAATTCTATTGGCTAGAATTTTGTTGAGGATTTTTGTGTTAATGTTCATGAAGGATACTGGTCTGTAATTTTCTTTTTTTGTGGTGTCTTTACCTGGTTTGGGTATATCTTTATCATATTAAAGTTTTCTTCTACTCTTGATAAAATTTTAAATAGTACTGAGTATTGACATTCTAGTTTTTATTTTTAGTTACCTATATAATTAGTATGGTTTTTCTTTCATTTCTCAATGTAGTATATGTCAATTTCCTAAGGTTGAACTATCGTTGCATTTTATATATATTCTACTTAATAAATGCCTACTTTTTAATGTATTACTAAATTTGGTTTGTTAATAATAATTTATTCAGAATTTTTATTTCTCTGTGAGAATTAAATATAGTTTTCTTTTTGGTAGCATCCTTACCCAGTTTTGGTGACAAGGTAACCTAAAATAACAAAGTTGAGAAGACTTCCATTTTTAAATGCTCTGGGCAGAGTTTCTGTGGGAGAAAAGTGTAGCAGTCTTTTCCGGTGAAGATTACAGCCTTGGAAACCCTGTGGAGCAGTTCTACTCTGTCCTACAGGGTTGCTATGAGTTGGAATCGACTCGAAGGTAGTGGATTTGGGCAGAGTTTAAACCACGTAGATATTTGTTTCTCTGAAGTTTGGTAGGACCTGTGGAACTGGGGTTCTTTTTTTAAAGAGTAAATCTTCTACACTCATTTCAACTTTTGAGGGGAGGGCAAGGAGTGTCAATCTAGTAAGATTTTCTACCCCATCTTAAGTCAGTTTGGGTAGTTCATATCCTCATACTGGAATCACGGTCTACTTAAGAGAGGTAGCACAAAGAGCTGAACACTCACTTCTACACTGGCGTAATCGCACATGGAACACTTAAATGGCTTCTCATGGGTGTGTTTGTAACGACGATGCCGCACCAATTCTCCACTGGTCACAAAGGCCATGTCACAGTCTGGGCACTTGTGAGGACGAGTACCTAGAGAAAGGTGGGCACAGGAGGAAGAGCAAGATCAAGGGCACAGTTAATGACACAGAGTTCAATGTGTGACACACAACTGCTGCTAGCGGTTGGACCTTGGTCATTCCACCAACTTTGTAGCAGTCTGAGAGTGGCTTCAAAAGCTACGGGAGGGCTCAGCTGACCTTTACAACTGTAACTGCAGAATATTAGAAATATGTGCCAAATATTTAGTTTCTCTTAATTACTCACTTGAATCTAGATTCAAATTTAAACACAAAATTCTTCTTGTATTCTGTATAAATTTTACAAAAAATATTTTGTGAATATCCTGGTCACCATGGATTAAAAGTTAACAGAAACAAAATGAAAAATATCCCCTGAAGTCTTCTTTAAACCAAACAACAGTTTAGCTTAACTTGTAAAGAATGTCTGCCTTGAGCATTGTGCTCTTTTAAGAACTACCTACGTGGGATCAAACTGACAACAGCATCTTGAAAGAGTAGATAGAAAACTTAAGGGTAGTGAGTTTACATTAATGGGGGGAGGAACAATTTGTAAAAGGAGGGTGAGAATGGCTTCACAACTTGAAAAATGTAATCAATGTCAGTGAATTGTACATACAGAAACTGGTGAACTGGTGTATGTTCTGCTGTGTATATTCTCAAAAAGAACAACAACAACCAAAGGTAACAGAAAACACCCTTCTATTCCAACCCTTGCCAAAGAATAGAGAACATCTTTTACACCTTGATGTTTTATCAAGTATAGGTTACAGGATTAATAGAGCTGACTACATATACAGGGCTATCGGTCTGTCCATATTCTGAAGTATTATGAATCACTTTCAAACATCCATGTTTAATATTCAGTGATCCAAATGTTAATTTATCTAATTAGATAAAATATCAATTCATCTAATTTAACATAATATTTTAATGACCTAATATAGGGTGATGGGTCACTTTTATATGCCCTTTCTTGACATGGTCTTTTATTCCCACCAAATGATTGGGTGGGACTATGCAAATAAGGTGCTTATGTTCCAACAAGGGGATTGAACAACTTGCTAATAATGCAGATAAGGTGTGGAACACCTTGTGGGTGTGGAACACCTTGTGGGTGTGGAACCATACAAATAAGGTGTATGAAACGCTAACGAGGGGACTGGTCAGTTTTACCATCTTGCTAGGCTTAAAATGAGCCATCTCTGAGGTAGAAAGGGAGGACCTCACTACTACCAAGAAGGAGAGACAGGAGTAGAGTGCATCCTTTGGACTTGGGGTCCCTGTGCTGAGAACCTCCTAGACCCAGGAGTCAGAGAGAGAGTGCTGTAACACCACAGATGGTGCAAGATGGCAAGAAGTGGCAGCAGAGAAAGCAGCAGTGGAACCAGAAGACCAGCGTGAAACAGTGCAGTGGGCTTCCTGGCCCACAGAGCAAGGCAGTTACAGTGGATGTGCCAACTCACAGAGTGAGAGAGCTGAGCGCCTTTGGGCAGGAGGCTTCCTGGTGGAGTAGGGTGCCTCCGGGCACTTGTCAGCAGAGCTAGGCTTGCTGACCCACAGAGCTAGAGAGCTGAGTGCCTTTGGGAAAAAGATTAGTGAAGTGGTGTGTCTCTGGGCACTTACTGGTGGAACTAAAGAGCTCTGAAACACTTGCCTGAGCAGGGCAAAGGCCAGGCAGTCCCAAGAACCAGGGAGAGGCCTGTCTGTGGATACGGCGAGAAAGTGTCCTGACCGAAGAACTGTATCCTGAGTCATTTCTGATTCTGAATTGTAATCTGTTACACTTCCCTAATAAACCCCATAATTGTGAGTACTGTCTGTGAGTTCTGTGTGGCCATTGCAACAAATTATCAAACCCAGCAGGGAAGCAGAAAAGAGCGCTGTGGGAGGGATGGCTGGTATAAGAATTGGTAAAAAGGTTTGTCTGACCTCCACTTCATAGGAACCAGCTTTGGGCTGATGGTGATTCTCTCTCCCCATCATGAAGTTAGAGGTCAGGAGCCCCTGCCACACCATTTTTACAGCTAATAATATACTCTGTACATTTTTTTTTTTACTGAAAGCATCCTAGTGTTTTCAAATATATCCTCCCACATTAGCCATATAACATAACTGATTACTTTACTGGCCCTATCTGGATCTTCTCCAGACGTTTTATATTCTGAAATACTGCATTAGAAATATCATGCCCAGGTAACAATGACAACAATAAGGAGATAAAGCTGGCAGCAGAACACAGTGCTGTTTTCATAGACTGTGATTCAAAAAAACTAGTGACTATCTGTAAGTGTGAGCTTGCAATATGTAATGAGTGAGAGTAAGGTACTCCCAAATTGCAAAACTGAAGGAAGGCTTCTCTCTGTGAGAGGCATTAGGAAGAGTCACAATGTCATGATTGGGACCAGTCATACGCAGAAACGTTTCTTCCAGAGACTGAAGAGAAGCCTGGAGATGGAAGTGTGATTGGAATATGACAGTAATTAAGAAATTCCAAGGAAAGTTCCTTTGCTTACTCAATTTGCTCTTTAGCACCACTGAGGAAGGAGTGAAGGACAGTTTTTGTCTGCGAAAAATGTATAGTCTGGTGATAGACAGGTTAAGTAAAACAATTAATAAAAGCAGGAAAACAGCGTCCATTTCTGTTAGGGCAAGGTAAGCTGAAAAACAAGAATTGCCTGTGTTAACCTAGTACTGTGTAGGAGAGAGAAACAGCCCTGACTCTGATAGACACAAGCCTAGCAGTTAGGAAAGAGATGGACACTGCTGTGGGGCAGGGATATTCCTCAGGTTACACAATATGACCACCTATGTCCCTCTGCTCAAAGTCTATGCTCACCAAGCCACCTTTCAAAGGCTATGGCACCTTGACATAGGCAAGGGCATCCCAGAGACTGCAATAAAACTGCATCTACAAGGTATATTTCTCACTATAAAATGATGCCCTGATATATGCATCTGACTCTTGAGACTTTGGTTAGTATGCATCAGTCCCATCCAATCAGCTCTGAGTAACTAGACAGATGGAACTTCTTATTTTTAAAGCTGAGGACCTACATATAGTTCCCTACATCAAGACACTCCCATCTTGGAAAGTCCTACAGGCTAGCTGTATGCCCGTCATATGCCCCCGTCACAGTGTCTTCGCACCACCAATAAATCATATTATCAAGCAGAAACCAGGGCAATGTTGAAAAGTGACTAAGTTACATTAGAAAAGACTATACTGCTGCACAGCATACTGCTTATAGTAAGGACAACATCCATTTGATCATGTTCATTAGACAACCAGCACATTAAATCAAAACCAGAGTCATCACTTAGGAAGAGGTAGAGAACCTGGATAGAGGAAAGCTACTCTGCATTAAAAACCAGGAGAAAGGAAGTTTTTACTGTCATTTGCAGGCAAGTGCCAAAACTGAAAGCTACAAACAGCTGAGAAGAAAGCCATAAGAGAGCTCCAGAGCACAGAGTCCCTCCACTTCAGTGGGCTCCTGAGACCTGGCCACAGCCAACATGAACCTAATGAGACTATCTGAAAAGCACATTTAAAGTGTGTATGAAGCTCAAATGATTAAACGTTTGAATTGCCAGAATGAATGTTAGCAATGCCTTAAACTTTCCATTCTGAGATTGTGAATTACTTATCTTCCCTGAGGTGAAACAATGCCATGCTTTTCACAAAGGTAGGATTTCACTTCTAACGTTCTTCCTCACAGTGCCTGGTGTTTGTTGGTTGGGACTTTTGTGAGGCCTTTTTTTAGTCATTGTTTAAGATGTTAGCAACATAACTGTACTGCCTTCAGGAAATATTACAGGTTAACTATCATAGCGGTTGCAGCAGTACATTGACAAGGAACTGCCAAAAATTCAAGCAAGATTCAGAAGAGGACGTGGAACAAGGGATATCACCGCTGATGTCAGATGGATCATGGCTGAAAGCAGAGAATACCAGAAAGATGTTTACCTGTGTTTTACTGACTATGCAAAGGCTTTTGACTGTGTGGATTATAACAAATTATGGATAACACTGTAAAGAACAGGAATTCCAGAACACTTAATTGTGCTCATGAGGAACCTGTACTTAGACCAAGAGGCAGTTGTTTGAACAGAACATGGCGATACTGCATGGTTTAAAGTCAAGAAAGGTGTGTATCATATTGTGTGGTTTAATGTCAAGAAAGGTGTGCACCAGGGTTATATCCTTTCACCATACTTATTTAATCTATATGCTGAGAAAATAATCTGAGAAGCTGGACTATATAAAGAACTCTGCATCAGGATTGGAGGAAGACTCATTAACAATCTGCGATATGCAGATGACACAACCTTGCGTGCTGAAAGAGAACTTGAAGCACTTACTGATGAAGATCAAAGACCAAGCCTTCAGTATGGATTACATCTCAACATAAAGAAAACAAAAATTCTCACAACCAGACCAATAAGCAACATCATGATAAACAGAGAAAAGACTGAAGTTGTAAAGGATTTCATTTTACTTGGACCCACCATCAACAACCATGAAAGCAGCAGCCAAGAAATCAAATGACGTATTGCATTGGGCAAATCTCCTGCAAAAGATCTTTTTAAAGTGTTAAAAAGCAAAGACATCACTTTAAGGACTAAGGTGAGCCTGATCCACGCCATGGTATTTTTAATTGCCTCATACACATGTGAAAGCTGGACAATGAACAAGGAAGACTGAACAAGAATTGACATCTTTGATACATGGTGCTGACAAAGATACTGAACATACCATGGACTATCAGAAGAACAAACAAATCTGTCTTGGGAGAAGTACAGCCAGAATGCTCATTAGAAGCAAGGATGGTGAGACTTCATCTCACATACTCTGGACATGTTATCAGGAGGGACCAGTCCCTGGAGAAGGACATCATGCTTGGTAAAGTGGAGGGTCAGCGAAAAAGAGGAAGACCCTCAATGAGATGGACTGACACAGTGGCTGCAACAATGGGCTCAAGTATAACAACAACTGTAAAGATGGCACAGGACAGGGTAGTGTTTCGTTCTGTTGTACACAGGGTCGCTATGAGCTGGAACCAATTTGATGGCACCTAACAACAACAACAATAATCATAGACATTTTCTGGAACATCATCCTCATAAAATATGTGTTATTTCTCACTAAATCTTCTTTATGTTCGCCTATAAAAAGGCTATCTGTTTAAAATAAAATCAAGATTACAAAAAGAACACCATAAAACAAAACAAAAATCTTCCTTCTTTAACTTCCTGCTGGAACCAGCTGAGATGAGACTTAAAACCCGAGTTTATCCCAAGTTTTAACCTTTGCTATGTTGTAGGGAGATGGGCGGCACTCATCTCCCTGCTCCCAGCACGCACCTGTGTGTGTGTTAAGATGGTTCCTCAGTAGGGTAACTGTTCTGAATGCCCTACCACAGAGATGGCACTTGTGTGGTCTCTCATCAGTGTGACTTTTCATATGACGATCCAAATTTGACCGTCGTGGACACGTGTAACTGCAGAGTTCACACTGGAATGTCTTCTTTACACCTATATGCAAAATCAAACAGTTACTTGGTGCAGGGTTTCAAAGTGTTAAGATTAATCCCAATCTTAAATTTCTACAAATATATTTCGTTAGTCTTTATAACTAAATGCAATCTAAATCATATCAAGTCATAACTATGTCATGCCACTAATCAATCTATTTTTTTCCTCTTCAGACCTTAAGAAAATACTCAATCTGAAGAACTTTTAGACTGGTTAAAAAGACTGGTACCCACATGAAGATGTTTAAAAAAAAAAAATCCTTTTAATATAAAACAACCTGCATATCATCTGTGCTGTGTGCTTTACTCCAAAGTAGTTTTTTAAGAATATAATGGAGAAACTAATTTTACCTTTCTTTTTAATTTTGGTTGGCTTTGGAGGCTTCATGTTACCAACTACTTTCTCTGCATTAACCTCCGACAGCAGACCCTCCTGCTGCTCTTCCTCAAAATCGTAGACAGATACATCCACATCTTTACCCTCCTCTGTGTAACGCAGTTTGCTCTTTTTGGTTTTCTTTGTTTTTTTGGCTGGTGGCTGATAGTCAGGGTCTTTTTGCCAACTAGGATCTTCCTGAGGCGGAAGTTCCCCTTGCTCTAGCGTCTCCACCTCTCCATTGGCCCCCACTTTCACCACCTGAAATCCTTCAGGCAAAGGTAAGGTGTGACATATCATGGGTTCGCTTTCTGCAAGGCCCTCTTTAGACACTTCATTCTCATAAGCCCCCTGAAGTTCTTCTACTGAAGTGGTAGCAACAGGTACAGTTACGGGAACAGGTACTTGAACAAGCTGAAGCTCTCCTATGTTTATGGGCTGTTCCTCCATATTTACAACCTGCAAGGTTATGATCTGGGTATCGTCCACAGCAGCCTCTGCTTCTGGAGCCACTGCTCCCTCCATTACTTCAGTCTTCATCTGAAGAAGGGTGGGGTCCAGCTGTTCCATCATTACCATCTGTACACCGCTGTTGACATCCTGGACCACCTCACCCCCTTCCGTCTGGTTCTGGGGTAGGTGGCAAGCGTCCTCCTCCTGGCCACCTTCCCGTCGTCTCTGGTAAGTCTTTCTCTCTTTTCCTTTAATAAAAGTTTCGGACTCCTCCACAATGGCTTCAACTGCCTCACCTTCCATCTCCCCTTCCTTTATTAAGGGAGAACACAAATTGTTATTTAAAATACAGTTTGTCGAAATGAAAACATACATTTTAAAATAAAAAGATCCCTGATAAATTAATTAGGCACCAATGGTTGTTAGCATTACAGAAAGATACAAGAGGTATTATGTGCCTCCTGATGGAAGACCAAACACCACCTATGAAGACACAGTCTTGCCCAATAAAACAAAAAAATCTGAAAGTAATTAAGCCTCTATCTCCAACTACCAATTAACAGAAAATTGGTGACAGAGGATGTTAAATTACACTAAAACCAAAAATCAAACCCTCTGCTGTCGATTCTGACTCATAGCGACCCTATAGGACAGAGTAAAACAGTCCCATAGGGTTTCCAAGGAGCAGCTAGTAGCCGTAGCTCTTAACCACTGTGCCATCAGGGCTCCTAAATTACGCTACAGGGATGAAAATCAGCAAAATCCAGACTGAGGGGAAACTCTGTAGGATAAACTACCCAGCTTCTTCTGCAAATAAATCACTAGGAGAAAAAACAGGTCAGTGAACATAGGTCAGTGGTTCTTCTTGGGGCAATTTACAGGTCAGTCCCCTACAACAAAGAATTAACTGGCCCATAATGTCAACAGTGCTGAGGTCGAGAAATCCTGATACAGACAAAATAGACTTAAGAGTCATAGCAACCAAACACAACATATGGATCTTTGATTCCTAATTCAACAAATGGTTAAAAAAGTTAAGACATGAGACAATTAGAAATTTCAGCTCTGACTGGATATTTGGTGATATTAAAGAATTATTAACCAAACTTGTTTAGGTCTTAGGCATTTTCTATACCTATTTATAAATACACTGGCAGAGAGCCTTGTTTTTATAAGCTAAACTCTGTCTTAGAAAACATGCTGTCATAGTGTTGTTGTTTTTTTTTTTTTCCCTTTACCCTGCTTTTTGGAGCCAGAATTGGAACCTGGATCCAGACTCTAGACTCCAAGGACTCTGGCTTATAGACCACACAACCTCACCTCCTGTATCATACTTGACATCAACTTGACATTGATGTATCTCTCTCTCCTGTGAAACCATCAGTTAGTTCCCTGAGGACAGGGACCATGACTATCAAGCAGTTTTTACTCTCTAGCACTGAGTCCAAGTTGGTAAGTACTCAACAAACGCTAACTGAAACGGATATATAAATAGGGAGAAAAAACCCAGCCAATTAATAGTTTCTGGCTCTTAAATCCTGTGAAAGTACTGACAGTAACTAAATACCTATGAGTAAAATGGGTCTGAACAATCATCTAATTCAAAGCAATAATCTAACAAAAACCACAAGTATATACAAGGTTAATTCAAAATTAAAGTTTAAAGTGTTTTGTATTCTTGGCCTAGTCTTCTCAAACAAGGCTTCTGCTACTTCCATTAGAGACATGTTTCTCCAATTCTCTGTCCAGGCAACTTTAGCACTTCTCATGCTAGCAGTCAGAGCCAGGAAGCCTACAGAGACATGGGCAAGGCCTGGTTCCATATTCTGGTAGTTACTGTCTAACATAAGGAGCAGGATAGGCACAATGGTTTAAGATAAAACTAGGTGGGTTTGGAGAAAGGTAACAAACATTTCATAGATGTGCAATTTGAATGGAACCCTGAAACATGGCCAGGACATTCAAAGGCAGAGTCTGGGGTGTGTGTGTATATGTTTGTAGTGAAGGAACTGGATCCCTAGGTAGAATAAATACTCCAAGTCCTATCCACCTCTCTCAGATCCTCTCTCAAACGCATAAGAGAATTGGTTATGGTAAAGATAAAGAGTGGGATTAGCCTATCAACAGATGAATGGATAAACAAACTACGGTACATACACACACATAGTACGCAATAATAAAGAACAATGATGAATCTGTGGAGCATCTCACAACATGGATTAATCTGGAGGGCATTATGCTGAGTGAAATAAGTCAATCACAAAAGGGCAACTATTGTATGAGACTACTACTATAAATACTCATGAAAAGGTTTACACACAAAAATAAACAATCTTTGATGGTTATGAGAGAGGGGAAGGGTAGGGGTGGAAAAACACTAAGTAGACAATAGATAAATGGTAACTTCGGTGAAGGCTAAGACAGTACACAATACCAGGGAAGCCAGCACAACTTGTACAAGGCAAGGTCATGGAAGCTCCATAGATACATCCAAACTCCCTGCAGGGCCAAATTGCTGGGCCGAGAGCTGTGGGGACCATAGTCTTAGGGAATATCTAGCTCAATTCGGCATAAGTATTATAAAGAAAATGTTCTACATTCTACTTTGGTTGAGTAGCATCTGGGGTCTCAAAAGCCTGTGAGTGGCCATCTAAGATACTCCACTGGTCTCACCCCTTCCAGAGCAAGGGAGAATGAAGAAAACTAAACATACAAGGGAAAGATTAGTCCAAAGGACTAATGGACCACAACTACCACAGCCTCCACCAGACTAAGTCTAGTAGTACAACTAGATGGTGCCTGGCTACTACCACTGACTGCTCTGACAGGATCACAACAGAGGGTCTCGGACAGACCTTGAGAAAAATGTAGAACAAAACTATAACTCACAAAAAAAGATCAGACTTACTAGCCTGACAGAGACTGGAGAAACCCTGAGAGTATGGCCCCCGGACACCTTTTTAGCTCAGTAATAAAGCCACTCCTGGAGGTTCACCCTTCAGCCAAAGATTAGATAGGCCCATAAAACAAAACGAGACTAAAGGGGCACATCAGCCCAGGGGCAAGGACGAGAAGGCAGGAGGGGAAAGAAGGCAGGAAAGCTGGTAATAGGGAACTCAAGGTTGAGAAGGGAGAGTGTTGACATGTCGTGGGGTTGTTAATCAACATCATAAAACAGTATAGTGTACTGTTTAATGAGAAAAACAAAACAAAAAAAGAGCTGGATTAAAGCTCGGGACAGAGAAGGGAGTAGCTGAGAGATAGCAGAAAGATGTGCTGGTTGTGGCCACAGTCTGGATGGTCCTGAATGACAAAATGAGAAAACTATACTTCATATGGTTGGCAATGGGAAACCATTATGCCTTCTACATAGGGGGAAGTTGAGATTTACTCATTTCATAAAGAATAGGGCTTGATTTCCTCAACAAAGTGTGTCACTATTTTGCACAAGAGGTATATGCATGATGCATATATACTCTTCTGACCTTCAAGATCCCTCAGTATCTGACCCCATGATAACCTATTCAGATTTATGTCTTGCTACTCTCAAGCTGTTGTCTTTTCACGAGACATAGTTGTTCCCACTGTCATCTCCCTCTCCTTGCTTTGTATTCCAAGTCCTATCTACTTCTCTCAGATCCAGCTTATCCTTAACACAACAAAGCCTTCTGAGGTTCTGTAGCCATTACCCTTTTCTGAATGTCTGCTGATACAATAACCACACAATTTAGCACTTAAAATTTTTCTCAAAATGATCCATTTGTCCAGCTGGACTATGAAAGTCCTGGAGGACAGAAGCCAGGCTTGAAGCAACCTATATTTTTTTTTGAGAGACTCAGCAAACCTAGCCATCTGCATGGGACAAAACCAAGGCTGGTGGGAAACATCCTAAGTTGCTGGGTTGCCAGTCTGATCTGTTCTGTCATTACCTATTTTCATTAGTCCCTTGTTCCCAAAAACAAGATAAAAATACTAGAACATTCAATGCAAAGTCTTCTTACTAGCTGTTCCATTACAGTGGGGACAAATACAATAATAAAATATTATTGTAGAAGGTGACCCTCACGTGTCTGTCAGTTTCTTGTACTGTGGGGGCTTGCGTGTTGCTGTGATGCTGGAAGCTATGCCACCGGTATTCAGATACCAGCAGGGTCATCCATAGTGGACAGGTTTCAGCTGAGCTTCCACATTAAGACAGACTAGGAAGAAGGACCCAGCAGTCTATTTCTGAAAAGAATTAGCCAGTGAAAACCTTATGAATAGCAGCGGAACACTGTCTGATATAGTGCCAGAAGATGAGCCCCCCAGGTTGGAAGGCAGTCAAAAGATAACTGGGGGAAGAGCTGCCTCCTCAAAGTAGAGTTGACCTTAACGATGTGGATGGAGTCAAGCTTTCGGGACCTTCATTTGCTGACATGGTACAACTCAAAATGAGAAGAAACAGCTGCAAACACCCATTAATAACTGGCGCATGGAATGTACAAAGTATGAATCTAGGAAAACTGGAAATTGTCAAAAATGAACTGGAATGCATAAACATCGATATCCTAGGCATTAGTGAGCTGAAATGGACTGGTACTGGCCATTCTGAATCGGACAATCATATGGTCTGCTATGCCAGGAATGACAACTTGAAGAGGAATGACGCTGCATTCATAGTCAAAAAGAACATTTCAAGATCTATCCTAAAGTACAACGCTATCAGTGATAGGATAATATCCATATGCCTAAAAGGATGGCCAGCTAATATGACTATTATTCAAATGTATGCACCAACTACTAAGGCCAAAGATGAAGAAACTGAGTATTTTTACAAGCTTCTGCAGGGTGAAATTGATCAAACATGCAATCAGGATGCATTGATAATTACTAGTGACTGGAATGTGAAAGTTGGAAACAGAAGAATCAGTAGCTGGAAAATATGGCCTTGGTGATAGAAATGATGCTGGAGATCACATGATAGAATTTTGCAAGACCAATGACTTCTTCATCGCAAATACCGTTTTTCACCAACACAAACCGCGACTATACACGTGGACCTCGCCAGATGGAATACACAGTAATCAAATTGACTACATCTGTGGAAAGAGACAATGGAAAAGCTCAATATTATCAGTCAGAATAAGGCCAGGGGCTGACTGCGGAACAGACCATCAACTGCTCATATGCAAGTTCAAGTTGAAACTGAAGAAAATTAGAATAAGTCCACGAGAGCCAAAGTACGACTTTGAGTATATCCCACTTAAATTTAGAGACTATCTCAAGAATTTGAAGCACTGAACACTAATGACCTAAGACAAGACGAGCTGTGGAATGACATCGAGGACATCATACATGAAGCAAGAGGTCACTAAAAAGACAGGAAGAAAAAGACCAAAATGGCTGTCAGAAGAGACTCTGAAATTTTCTCTTGAAGTCGAGTAGCTAAAGCAAAAGAAGAAATGATGAAGCAAAAGAACTGAACAGAAGATTTCAAAGGGTAGCTTGAGAAGACAAAGAAAAGTATTATAATGACATGTGCAAAGAGCTGGAGATAGAAAACCAAAAGGGAAGAACACACTCGGTATTTCTCAAGCTGAAAGAACTGAAGAAAAAATTCAAGCCTTGAGTTGCAATAGTGAAGGAC